TATATATATATATAGTAAATTTCCATATCAAAGGTCGCCATCCAGTTAACACTTATTTCTATGTGATTGGTGGACCAGATAAGAGCAGATGAGGTACGAATTCTCAATAAAGCATTCTTGTTCTTTTTATCTTTATTGTGAGCGCATTTATGCTCGCGGTCACGGGCGGCCATCAGCTAGCAGTTGGGCTCTCATTAAACACCTCCATAATTTTTTTTATTTTTTCCCCTCAAATATGTTGTTTTAGTAATTTTTTATTGGTTTGCAAAATAATTTAAATTTCAGATGCTCGATAGTTACTTGGTCAACTTTTATTTTTGGTCACTCGTATAATATAAATTAAAATTTGAATTATAATTCTTCATAAATAAATAAATATCCACCTAATCCATAGACAAAATGTTCTTAAAAGTTTTGTGGTAGAATATTTATAGCATTGGTTGAGAAAAAATTGCTATGTTAGGATTACATCAAAATCGTACGAGCAGATATGTCGAGAGAAATCTATGAGGTAATGCTTTTTTATGTCAAAATTTTAGGATTTGTTAAAAATTACATTATGTAATTACATGATTGAGTCGAAACGGTTGCTTTCTGTAATGGTGGTTGATTACATGAAAGAGCTTGAACGTGAATTAGATTAGGTAGTCTTAAGTTTTCAACGGCGTTGGCTCGAGTTTGACTTGAGTTATTTACATTTCTAGTGATCCAAAAGGTTGCATGGCTTTTTAACGTTGGGTTGATGTTAATAAAAAAATGAAAGAGGGATGGGGCCCACATGCTAACCGACTTGGGGACTCAGCCTAACCTCTTATTGTCAGTAATGTCGGTCATAAATGCTCAAATTTATCTGTAAATAATATAATAAATAAGACTAAATAAATTCTATGTACGTAATATACTAAATATTGCATGCAGACACTCAAATCTTCACGGCCATTACTTTTCACGAAATTAGACAGATCGATCATTTTATTAGAAAATCTAAATAAAAATATGTATTATTCCTTTAATTTCTTCCTCAACTCAGAAATATGTCATTTGGTAGAAATGAAATAGAAGAAGTTTAGATGAGAATCGATTCACTTCCATGTTCTACGTTTTTCATTAGAAGTATTATATGCAATGCAATGGGTCATGTCTAGTACATATGTTTGTACATATGAACATATGGGTCAGGTCTATAGCATATTTGGTCACATTAAGGCATAACAAAAATACATTATAAAGTGTGTAGACAACAAAAGCAATACATATCGCAATAAATGTGCTAAAAAAAAAAAGCTCTAAACTATGCAAAAAAAAGCTCTAAACTATGTCATCTTACTTATCAGATTGTAATGAAGTTTTAATTTTTTTTTAAATATTTTTAAAAGAAATTATATAAAAAAAGAGATTTACATACATATTATATATTTTTCATATATTTACATACCTAACATATAAATTTTGATATTTACATAACCGTTTAGACTTATAGTCACACAGAAATATATGCATAAAAAGGTATTGCACTCAAGTAAACAAAGTTTAGGTGATAGATATATAAACACATTATAATTGAGTGGTAAGTATGTTAAATTATCTTTAAAATAATAATTTTTAATTTTAAAATTTTATTTATCTTAATTGAGGAGAAATATTAGCCTTTAAAAACATAATAACCTTATTATGGTCATGATAGCTTACTTTTTAAAATATAGTTAAGGTGACATTTCATAGATCATATGAATTTTTGAAACTAATCATATGACGTTGTCATATTGTGGCAAATTAATTATCACCATTTGATAGTTAATTTATTAATAATGATAAAGAGAATGCAGTGTCCAATAAATGCTATTAAGTTAGATGTTTTTTAGATAAATGTAGGTATGCTCAATAAGAAAAAAAGAGAATATCCAAATGAATTATTTTCACTTAAATGTAGAACTGAGATATCTAGATAACTTTGTTTAGGGCTTCACACAAATTATGATTTCAGATTAAACAGGATTGACCAACTTGTTAAATTGACGTTGGTCTAAGAGTGTGGTTTAGTTAGGCCAAGCTTGCTCAAGCTCAATGTAAGACTAATAAATTTAGGAAAGCCACCTAATATCTTAGAATACCATGCACGCATGAAGACTAAAAAATTGTTTAATCAGAAGAGAATGTTGTAATGACTAAAATGATAAAGTATTTTGGGTGTAATGAAAGACAGAATTCATCTCATGAAAGGATGCCATGAACGTTTTTATGCGGATAATAGAAGAATGATCTTCAAAGGACAATGAAATAGCCACCCTACATGCTTTGTTGACCCAATAAGATGTGAGCCATGTATTGGTGACCTAATTTGTTTAGATTTGTCATTGAAGACTTGACCTATATAGACCAAGTTGGTTCCTATTTTATTGAGACAAGTTCGTACAGCAAAAGAAGTATACATGCATCAAATGACCATATTATTTCAGAAATACTGTTATAATTTTATTTATTTTAATATTTACATTCAAACAAAATAAATTAAAATTCTATTTCAAATTTTAAAGCCACAATTCCGGCATCATAAAAAAATTATATATTATGGATATTGATCTTTCTAAAAATTTGAGATGAAAGAAAACCAAAATCGAAACTAAAGCATGAAATTATTTAAACAATGTAGAACTTCATGCCTGAACTAGCTTAATAACCATTTTATCATCAAATAAACAAACTATACATGCAAATTAAGCTCTTTCAGGGGGCCAAAAAGATGTTAAATCTGCAAACAACTTAAATTGGTTTATAGTTGGCAGGAATCAACATTTATTTTATCCTGTAACAGCAATGTATATAATTCTTTACCATCAAAGAAAAATCTATCTCAACATATCAACTATGCTTCTGTTATTTGCTTCTAAAAAATATAAATTGTTAAAAATGAGGCTTATAGATTGCTCACAAACACAGATTAGATATTTCAGTAACTTGGTCGCAATCGCAAGTCAAAAACCTCAAACCTCAAAGTAGGATTAATGTACACGTTGGAGCAGTTCTCATAAATGGGACTGCCATCTGCAGTCGAAGGGTGGGGATGAAAACCTCTCTCATCGCAGTTTCTAACAACATCAATACCTGATGGATCTGTTAGTCGGAAAATACCACTTTTCCTGCAAAAATACAAAGCAAAGGAAGCATATGAGAAAATTAAGTTTGAAATTAGAATCAATACAGAGTTTATTTTTTAGTGCCAAATGATGTATGGTATTGAGTTGGGCAAAGTAGAGGAAGGTTGGCCTTGATGGTTGCGGCAGTTTGAGGGGTAAGCAAAAAATAACATATTCCATCAAAGTTCTTCTACGAACATAGAGAGACAAAATGTAATAAAAAAAGGAAAAGAAACACCGCATAAAAACACAAATTTTATTAAGGTTTACAAATTTGATGTGTATACCCCAATAGCGCCACCATAGATTTAACTATGATTTAATTGTGGAAATAACACACATTGTTGTTGTTTTTTTTTTCCTTTTTTTTTATCACATAAGTCTTATTAAAAACTTTAGGCAGCCAACAAATAAAATATTTTATTTTCAAAATACTGTTATAAAATAATCATATTTATTAAGATATCTTTTGCTTGCTCCAACGTTGATCTCCAGGTAGGGGGGTTACCCTTCAAACCTCTGAAAATCTTGCTGTGGAGGTTAAAGTTTAGGTGGGGCCCACCGAAATACATCCTGATCGTTAATCACCTGATTTAAGGTCATGATCGGACACTGCACGCAAGATGCGTGCGGTGTCCGATCCTCATGGAATAATTTTTGGTGGAGGTTAAGGGTTGAACAATGACTAAAGTTGCATAGTGCGTTTTTTTTGGTAGAACAAAAAATAGTCATCACAACTCAACAAATAGGAAATGGCCAATACATCTGCTAAGTAAGGTGATACCTTTCAGGGTCTGTAGGAGCCATTACAATGGCAATAGCCTCCGGTAGCATAACCTAGACATAAATAAGAAAAAATATTGGTAATAGTGCGAGAGACTGCAACAAATGAGGCGAAAAGACTGCAAACCTCTTTTGCTCCCACCAAGTTAGGACTTTGCTACTTCATTTTTCATGTCAAACTTAATTGAATAACTGTCATAATATTTAGCAATTAAATACTTAATGGCAAACAAAACTTCCTTGACGGGTATGCTTTCTAAAACACCTATTTCACGCGCACTTCAGTTTTGCATGATGCATTTGATTTATTCTAATTATTTTCACTTCTTTATTTTTTGGTAATCTCAAAAATTTGGGATTTGAACCATTCATCTCACTTCGAAAATCATCTCACTTTGAAAATCATCTCACTTTGAAAAATAGCGACAATGCCACTGAATCTAATGTTCAATTACCGTTTTTAATCTTACCATAGTGATATTCGCAATTCCATAGATATTTATTCAATCAATATTTCTATAACTCTTAATAATAGAAAAATTGGCATATTAAAACTCCTAAATCTTATACGATACAAAATAGCTTTCTTAAAGCTCCCACCCAAAATAACTAGAAAATTTTGCAGTACCTGGTAGGAGTATTGTGTATGCAAATCTATTGATGAAAGGAAGCACGTTTGAGAAGGATGCGTCTGCGTAAAGTAAATACGAACATAAGTACTGAATTTGGAACTATAAAGGGTCAGCATTGACAAACGCTATCAGCACATATAAATGTACAAATGAAAGAAAAATTCAGCACAAATTCAATGCTCAACAAAAATAATCCATGCGATATTGGAACACTAGCTTGAAATGGATTGGAATTTATCTTACAGATGAAACTATCCTTTTTATTTTCATCTGCCTCTTATGAAACGATATTCTCAAACAGCATTACCTAAGTGTTAAAATTATTAAAAAAAATAGATGGGAAAAAAATCAATGATGAAAGCAGCTACAATCCTGTATTTGATTCTAAACATTTACCAGATCTAATGTTAAAACCCCAAAAATATAATTTCATGACTTGCCCAAACATCAAAGCTAGTACAATACAATATCCGTAATATACATCCATATACAAATCATTAATTCAATAACGACATTCTAATCCTGCTTATTTTTGCCAGATTCTAATCCCTCAATATTAATCATATTTATAATTGCATTTTGTCTGTTCCACTTTAGCGATATCAATTACAACAATTTCCAATAACATTAGCTCTTGTGAATTTAGGTTATCGTCGAACTTATCACTCTTGACAAATGATGTTCTGGAGTTTATTTTAGGCCATGAGTGATAAAATTTCACTCACATATTTTGAGTTTTATAATTTAAAATCTTGATTTTATAAATATTACATTTTGGCTAAGATTTGTAATTAACACAGACATCTTCGGGGTAGTAATTGTTTGATCATTCACATTCATAATTTAATCAAGGTTTATCTCTTGAATATCATTAGAACAATTCTCTCGACTCCTACCTATCCTTGAAAGGAGGAAAATCACACCGACTTAATCGAACTCAATATCATCAACTCTAGTTTCTATGATGAAAAGGATAAGCCTAGATAGGACGGGCTTAATCTCATTCACGTCATCTTAGTCCCTTTGCTACTTTCCCAAGTGCAAACAAACTGCAATCGACGCTACTCCAGTCATCTTGTCCCTATGCCGCATCTCTTTCCAGTTTTAATGCAAAAGCCACCTGAGCTTACTACAGGAAACCAACTCCACATACCCTTCCGCTTTACTTCACCCACAACACCCATTCTCCTAAACTGGCTACACCAACAAACAAACATTATCCCTCTCTCTAAAAAAGAAATATTTCAGAAAATTATAAATATATATTATTTGCGCCTTGTGAGTTCGTTGCTTCATCACTCTGAGTTCCTTGATCTCGCACTAAGGTATAATAGAGGGAAACTTAAGCACTTTTTTTGTTGGGG